CGCGGGGAGCCCCGCGTGAGCCCCCAGGGCGGCAGGTGGAGACGCGGGGAGCCCCGCGTGAGCCCCCAGGGCGGCAGGTCCCGTCTCCACGCCCTAGGGTCTGCGGCGGCTCAGGGGGGCCGCGGCTCCCCGGGTCTCCACCTCCTGCTCTGGGCGGCTCACGGGCGGCACCGCGTCTCACCTCCTGCTCTGGGCGGCTTCACCGGGGCGCACCGCGTCTCCACTGCCGCCGCTGGGGGCTCACGCGGGCGCCCGCGCTCCAAGGGATCTTTCTGCAGCTGCAGCAGCGGCTGCTGCGGCCGAGATGAAGCCAAGCTGCGCAAGGGCGCTGGAGCGGCTGCGGAGGAAGGGCGCGTCCTGCGCGGCAGCGCGCGCGGGGAAGTTCGTGGGTCCGTGGCGGCTACACCAACTGCGGGAGTGGTCCCGGCCAGGGGCGCGATTCGGGAGACGCCGCCCACGCACGCCTGGGACTGTGCTGCTGAGCAGGTGGAAGGAGGCGTGGAGGAGGAGACGAGCCACGCGCCTCCCCGCTGGGCGTCCTGCGCGCCTGGGAGTTGCTGGCGCTGGGCGGCACTTCCTCCTCTTTCGAGGTGGCTTCCCCAACTCTGAGAGAACAGACAGAACACCACTAAGCGCGGGCGTTCCGCCAGTGTGAAGGTCCAGGCACAGTGGACACCCAGAGGGTCCAAGCGGTAGGTCTGTAAAACGAGACCTCAAGAGCAAACCTGGGGCCTCCAGGGAGTCTGGCGCGGGAGGCGGACCTTGGCCGCCTGCCGCGTCTCGGGCCCTGGCCGGGCAGCAGCCTGGCAGCACGCCACAAGCTTCCCTCCCCGCCCGTGTCCCCTGGGCACCTGCACACCGCTGCTGTCACGTGCAGCTTGGGAATGTCGGTGAGCAGACCGGGCCTGTGCTCCCCGAGCTTTGTTGAGTTCACCACGGGCGGGCCTCCCTAACCTGGTACCTAGGCCTGGGGCAAACCACGCTCCTGTTTTATGTTTTTATTTTTATTTTTTTTGAACAAAGTCTCACTTTGCTGCCCAGGCTAGAGTGCGTGATCAGCCTAGCTCACGACAACCTCAATTCTCCTGGGCTCAGAGCGAGTTCCTGCCTGCCTCAGCCCCACCCCAGTAAGCTGGACTAAGGCATGCGCCCATTGCCGGCTAGATTTTTTTTGCTATATATATTCAGGTGGCCAATTAATTTCTTTCTATTTATAGTAGAGACGGGTTCACTCTTGCTCGAGGATGGTTCGAAGCTCCTGGACCCTCGATCAATCCAGCCCGCCTCGGCCTCCCAGAGAGCTAGATTACAGCGTGAGCCACTGTGGCCCGGGCGTCTTTTTATTGTTTAAACAGACTCACTCTGTCGCCCGGCTAGATGCCATCAGCCTCGCTCACAGCAACCTCCAACTCCTGCCTCAAGCCGGATCCTCCTTGCCTCAGCCTCCCGGTAGCTGGGACTACAGGTGTGCGCCACCGATGCCGCTAATTTTTTTACGTAATATTAGTTGGCCAATTAATTTCGTTTATTTGTAGTAGAGACAAATCTCGCTCTTGCTCAGTTGGTTTCGACGCTCCTGACCTCTACGCGATCCCTCCTGCCTCGGCCCTCCGCAGAGTGCGGGCATGACCGGCCTGAGCCACCGGGGCCCGGCCTAAACCACGCTTATATGCAACATAAAGTCGTACTTTGTGGGGAGCAGAAGGCGCTGCCTGCAGGACTGTGCAAGGCGGCTGGGAGCGACATCAGAACCAAGTTCTCGGTGCTGAGACGGGTGCCTTCAGTTTTCCAGGCATGGATCCCCAAGGCCTGGCCAGGCATGGACGTTCGTATCATTAGGTCCACACGCACGCGGGTGTCAGTGTGGTCGGTCGCCTGGGTCATGTACACACGTCATCATCAGTGTGGTGTACACGGTTCACTTCACTTCAGAAATGACTGCCGCGGTTGCGGGCCTGCTCACGCCTGTCATCCCAGCACTCTGGGAGGCGCGAGGCGGCAGACGCGCTTGGAACGGTCAGGAGTGTCGACCAGGCCTGAGCAAAGCGAGACCCCGTGTCTACTAAAACAGAAAGAATTACGGCCAATAACAATTTGATATGAAAAAAGTAGGCGGCGTGGTGGTGCATGCTGTAGTCCAGCTACTCGGAGGATGGCCTGAGCAGGACGGATCGCTCGACCCAGGAGTCTGAGTGGGAGCGACGGCTGACGCCACGGCACTCACTCTAGCCTGGGCGACAGAGTGAGACTCTGCTCAAAAACAAAAAACAAAAAAGAAAGAAATGACGGTCCAGTGCTCCGGACTCTGTGCCGTGTTTGTGCCGCGGCAGCAGAGCCGTGTGCCGCCATTGCCGGCGTGGCCCCTCAGTACACGGCTCCCCCCGCCCGCACGCACACCATCCCCGTCCGTGCAGCCGCCTGCCCGTGGTGCTCGAGACGCCCACGCTGGGTGCTGCCCCTCCCCTCGACGCGTAGACGGCCGCGAGTGTCCGTCCCCCGCGGTCTGAGCGTCCCCAGTCTGCCGCCCGGCCGGCCAGCAGGGACGGTCCCAGGCGGCGCGCCGCGTGCACCTGCAGGAAGGGGAGCGGGGTCTCCCGGCCGCCAAGCCCGCCTCGCCCTAGGCAAGACCAGCGGCTGATCAAGGCGCGACGGGCGACGCGGCCATGCCAGCCGGGACCAGTGTTCCCACGTGGACGTCACGGCCACCGCGGGCTGGCTGCTCGGGGCTGGCCGTGCTGTACGGTGGCACCATCGGCTTCCTGCCGAGCTGGCGCACGGCCTCATCGAAGTCCTTCTCCGCCACCCTGGGCGAGGACGTGGCCACTCGTGAGCGGGGCGGCCGGTCCGGACACTCACACAGCCGGGGCGTGGGTCCCATCAGCGTCACACGACCCGGGGCCGGGGTGCCCACTACACCAACACGACCCGGGCTGAGTCCCAGACGGCTCACACCACCGGGCGCGGGTCCCAGACCACTCACACGACCCGGGGCCGGGGTCCACCACTCACACGGAACCCGGGGGCCGGTCCACTCACTCACACGAGCCCGCCCGGGGTCCGGGAGCGTCACACGACCCGGGGCCGGGGTGGCGGCCGTGTCCCCACTCACTCACACGACCGGGCCGACGCCCAGCGCTTACACACGCCGGGGCCGGGTCCAGACACTCACACGACCCGCGGGCCGGGGTCCCCACTCACTCCCACACGGACCGGCGGCGGTCCCCACTCACTCACACGACCGGGCCGGGTCCCCAGACCTCACACGACCCGGGGCCGGGGTCCAAGTCACTCACGACGACCCGGGGCCAGTGTCCCCCAGAGCAGCTCACACGACCCGGGCCGCGGTCCCCAGACACCTCACCACCGTGGGGCGGGGTCCCACTCACTACACGACGCGGGGGCCGAGTCCAGACGCTCACACACCGGGGGCGGCGTCCCCACTCACGTCACACGACCCGGGGCCGAGGTCCCAGACGCTCACTACGACCCGGGGGCGGGGTCCAGTCACGTCACACGAGCCTGGGGCCAGGGTCCCCAAGACGACTCACACGAACGCCGGGGGCGGGGTCCAAGTTCACGTCACCGACCTGGGGAGGTCCCAGACCCACTCACAGCGACCCGGCGGGTCCCAGACACGTCACGACGAGCCCGGGCGGCGTCCCACTCACCTCACAGGACCCTGGGAGGTCCCAGATGCTCACACAAACCCGGGCCGGGACACTCGCACAACTGGCGGGGTCCAGACTCAGCACGACCCTGGGGCCGGGGTCTCCCACGCTGCTCACTGGACAGGGCCGACATTCACACAACTGGCGGGGCGGGTCCCAGACAGCTCACACGACCCGGGGTCCCAGAACGCAGACGCAGGCGAGCGCAGCAGCTCCCCGGAGCTGGGCAGCCGGGCGTGGACACAGACCAAGACTCCGCAGCAGGGACGGGAACGTCAGGAAAAGCTGGCGAAAAGTCGGGCGAAGCCTGGTGACTGGCGGGTGGCCGTGCCCCTTGGTGACCCGCTCGACATGCTCAGGGACAGCAGGAGGAGGCTGAGGGCCCGCGGGTGCTCCCCGTGCCTGCAAGTTCTCTGAGAGTCTACAATTCTTTCTAGAGTAGGATGATTAAAACCACGGGGCATCCACCCAAAAGCCGCGCGGAAACCCCGGCGTGATCCCCGCAGGCGACGTGGGACCTCTTCTCTGCGGGAGGCCACCCAGGCGCCTTTGCTTCCCGTGTTTTGCGATTTTTGAGGAGGCCTCTCGCAAACCCTCTGGGAAAAGCAAGCTTTCAAACGTGAAATGCGTCTAAATGTCTTTGCGAGTTCGTCACCAAAGGACACGGCACGAGCCTGAATGCTGCGGGCGCCGGGCGGATGGGGCGCGACTCCCAGCCCGTGGCCGCAGACGCAGGGCTGCACGTAGCCCGCAGCTCTGACCGCCCCGGCCCGCCCGCGGGACGGGGCTGATCACGCGGGTGGCAGACGGGCAGCCAGCCCGAGGCCGAGCGCCAGAAGGCCGAGCGGTGCTGGGTCTGGCGCGCGGCTGCGTCTGGCGACGTGCTGGCGGAACCGATTGAGGTGCACAACAACGTGGACCTGGCGCCGGGTGAGTGGGGCCACGGTAGTCCCCCTCGGGGGCAGCTGCTCTGGGGTGGCCCATCCTCGACCCGAACATGGGGTCTGGGCGCTCCCCGAAGCCGCCCAACCCTGGTGCCGGGCCATGTCACCACAATGGCTGTGGGGTGGGGGAACCACAGGTGGCAGTTCCCTGCCAGCAGGTCTGTCCCAGCTGTCTCCCGCCTTGCTGGTTGTCACCCCCATGCTCAGCTGCTGTGGACAGGCCTCTCCTGGTTACGTGGGTCACGCCGGCAGCGCGTGAGCTC